GTATCGGTTCTTGATGTGTCAGGATTCGTGGGATTATTTCCAGTTCCATCTCCCGCCTTGTATCTTCTGGGTATTTATCCGTTATTCTGACAACTTCCACCAGGATATCTCTAAGAACATTTCCTTCATTACCTGTTGAAATATGTAGCCCCTTTAAGAGATCCGTAGTTTCAGAATCAAGATGGATTAAACATAGGTTTACTACCTTAGTCCTATCGTTGTCTGTACCAGTTGATGCCTTCAATAGAGAACCATCAAAATTCGCCCGGGTTGGCTTGGTTGTGTGTTGCCTTATTATCCCATACCTTAGCAATTTCTTTTCATGTCGCTTATTTATCAGATCCCGGACCCTCTGTCACTTCTGGTCGGTCATGCTCTGTAGTTTTTGAAAATCATCCAAATCGAGAACCCTACCTAAATCCGTCCTGAATCTAGACTTAAGATATATGAACTTAAATAGCTTACGCCTCTCGGTCTCGTAACTTTTCTCTAATTACTTCATGCAATCGTGATAAAGAATTTCATTAACAGTGTCCGAATGACATTTCCTCATTAGATTGCAGAATCGGGGAGCGATGCCATAATGTTTGCAACAATTCAAAAAGGCAATTGTTAGCCAACCAGCTCTAGTTTCCACTGTTTCTATCCTCTTTCTATCTCTAATACCAAGCCTATTACTTCCTATGCTCTAGTCTGCTGTGTGCCAACCGACAAATGTTGTGGTTCAACATCGAACCAAATCAAAACAAGCTGTACCACAACATTTGTGGGTTGACACACAAGAGACTAGGGCATGGCAAATCATAGACTTGGTATTAGGGCTAGAAACAGGATAGAGACGGCGAGGACCGGAGCTAGTTGGTTGACGGTAGGTCTGTCGTACCAGAGACGTGGTACATGTAGTAAAGGGGTGACGATGACACTCAGAGGCTTGCGCCTCGAATTAGTCACCCAGACGCAGGGGAGGACGAATAACGCCTCGAGTAGGATAGATGTGAATAACCCAGGACAGTAGGGGAAATACCACAACTGTTTAGCACATGTTCGGTCAAAGGGTCGACTTCACTTGTCTCTGACGGGTTGTTGTATGGTGCTAAGAATGGCGATGCTCACTGACGATGCCGGCGAAATGTTTCGGAATGTTCCACGTCCACGGTTTAACTTTGGAAATGATCATGCAGATAATGGACTCCGGACTACGTGCGTTCCTCTAAGTCTTCCTACCATCATGACCAAGTTGCGAAAACAAGCTCAAACAACTTCTATAAACTCTGATTATCTTCCAAGACAATTAAAAGGAAGATGCAATAATTTCTTTGCATGTTAGCATGGTTGGTATGGCAAATCTTATTTCCATTTGTACATAAAGACTTTCACAGATTTAATGAAGTATGCATTGTTTTGTGATACGTTTAAGCACGAGTGCCGTATCACACGACAGATTCTTTTCAAAAAATATTTTTATTGCCACGTGATTGCAATCATGAAAGAAAGAAATCGACTTATGCTTGCTAAGTCATCCTCAGGGTGACACCATGTCGTTTCCCTGAATATCAGGACAAAGGAGGCGATTGGCTTACGTTTCTAAAGTTATTGTAACTATGGCCAGCAGCCACGAGGTCAACTCTGTCCTACTATCTTTTTACTGTTTGGCTTCATCTTCATTTAATATTCTTTGAAACCTTTTAAATTCACCACTTCAAACACTCAGGTGACCACCTCTACTGGACTGATTGGCAGACTTTGAAAATATACCAAGCGAAGAAACTTGATGGATCTGGCAGACGCACACTTAAATCCTTTTCTATTGATCACTCGTTGATGGGCATTCACGGTGTCGATCTGGTTCAATCAAAACAGAGTATGTTGCCTTTTTTGTTTCCAGTGCTACCTCTGTTATTCCTAACGAAGATAGAGATATTTTTACGGGACTAATTAACCAATTAGTCTCGACTAATTGGTTAATTAGGAATTCCGCCTTGTTATGCGTGTGTCTTTTTACAAAAATGAAGATACCCAGAACATTAGGTTTCATCTCGAAAAACTGGTTTTGTAGAAATTATTTAAATTCATATGTTAATAGAAGAATCTTTTATCACTTTTAACATATCTAGATAAAATTTTCGTCCCATCTGAATAACAAGATAGTTCGTCTTGGATTTTTAAAATTGTGCATTACCGTTTAGAGGTCAGCGACCCTTGTTACATTGTCTTCCGAATAATGTGAATCGCCGTATATCATTCTTCTGTCACTTGTTGGCTATTTTTTGGGAACAATGAATCATACTTATGTTATTGGACTTTTCACTCCGCTTGATAAGCATCGTGCGAGGGGTTTAGAAGCTGGCTTCATAAAGCCTTTTTGGCTTATTTTGAGTGAATTTCGATCATGTTGTCGCTGCCAAGCAGACGACAGCATAGCACAGATTCATCGACATTACAAGACCGCGCACTGATGACTTATTCGCACATGTCAACAACAGCATCAAAGGTGGATTGAGGACTCATATAGTTGGGCCCCCCACTAAAGAGATTAGTAGGCTTGTGTAGAGTAGCAACGCATTGCAACCAATGCCAGAAAGTCACGAGGCAGATGACTTTTCTGGCAAGTCACATTTATAGTGGGGCTGTCGATAGGGGTAATTTGTATTTATTTTTCAAATTAAGTATTGTTCTCGTGACTACCAGTAAATCAGTAATATGAGCTGTATTCACCCAATTTCGTGTATGGTGATGAAGGACTGGTAGAATATGAATCTTCCCACAATGATATGAGTTGAGCTGACGTTTCCATTGTGGGAAAATTCATCTTCTACCAGTCCTTCATCACCTTAAACGAAATTGGGTGAATACATATCATATTAATTTGTTTTTACTGTCAAAACTGGCTACGTTGCCTGTATTTGAAACGAATATACTTCGAGACGAGATAACGTATTTAGTAAGCGACCTGGGATGCATAAAGATCTTATTCAAGGATTACTGATAGTATCGAACCTATTTACCTTAAAAATAAGTAGTCTCACCGATTGTAATAGAAAATCCATGTTTGCTTCAACAATCCCACCCTTAATGTGATCTTGCATGGGTCTAGCTTACACCGTAGTCTATTGGCTTTCGTGGCTGTACGGCGGCTGCACGACCCGGTTTTGAATCCCTTTCAAAGTCCTGATGATGCTTGGGCGAACTTAAATCTGCAATCCACTGACATCGTGTGCCTCTTCATTGTTAGATATTCATTCATCAATTTTGAAATCACCCTAGGCAACCTAGGATGAGTTTGCATGCTACTCAAGACTTTTTGGTTGTCCGTGCAATCCTTCTGTTTGCAATAAAGCTGATTTACGTATACCTCCCATCCAGCATTTAAAGCAAAAGTAAAAATCCGATGAAACGAAATCATTAAAAAATTCTTCCAAATCCAGCTTCTCTTCATCTCTCTAAACACTTAGTCATTCTTTATAAGAAAAATTAGTTAACCTACGAAAATATTTCGCTAAGTGTCAATGGGTTCCATTCAAGACTGGACAAAAGAGGTTTTATTCGCAAATAGGCCTAAGTTGATCGTCCTCTAGGAGATATTTTTAGTAGATGATGCTTCCTATCGTTTTTTATTGAAAAATTTAATCTGAATTGTTGGAATCATTACTTATAAATGTACCGCTCAAAAAGTTTTTTCTGTACTTTTCTTAGCCTCACCTAAAGCTTGCAGATCTGATACTTGTTCGCATCTCTGCTTTTCTTTGCCTGAGCCCGACCGCGGTATTAGTGGCTCGAGTGGCATTGTCAACCAAGCTGACTCAACCACGTTCAGAATCGCCACAGACAAAATTCAAGAAACGACTTCACGCACCCCCGACCCCGATCGAAAGGAGATTCAATCCGATTTGGGCTATTCTTCAATCAACTCCACACTCCACGGAAATAGATCGCCTTCTGATGC